CCCCAAAACCCCAAAACCCCAAAACCCCGATATTGGGTGTGAATATTGAACAAATGTATCCTTTTTAGTATAAAAGCTGGAAGCCATCAAGGTTTGTGAATCCGATCATGGGTGTGTCTAGTATCTGATCCCAGAAGAGTATAGTTTGATATTGATGTTCCCTTTCATGAGTTTTACAGTCTCTAAATTTTTATGACCTCTAGAGTTAAGCCTAGCAGGCTTAAAGCTGACAGGATAGATATCTAGTTGGCTCAGAGTAGAATTGAGCTTAGATCTTGCTATTTTTGTAGTCAAGCCATCATAATGTTCACTGTCTTCTTCAGGCTGAAAAATCTCCGTTATGAACAACACCAAATGCGAGATAGCAACTCTGGCATTATTGAGATACTCCAAGTGATTCACTGTGACCTTGCACATGCAGATAGATAGCTTGCATTTGCTAGTAACTGAGACAAGGATACGTCCAAAATCTTTATGAGATATCCTGAGTCTTTTTAGCTCGATTGAACTTAAAGTTGCACTCATGGCTTTTCAAACCCTTCTGGAATAGAAGCTAAAGTTCATTAAAATATATTCAGCCCCACAGAAAGAAAAATTCTTTGTCTCTGTAGCACTAATACTGTTGATTGCATCGCTACAACTATGCTTAGATCTGGAACCTTTCTCACTGTGCACTTGGATACCTTCAAACCGCAGCCTATCGAGGCGGTGGAATCTGGGCTTGAGGGAGATCGCCCTTTTGTATTTATAATGAGTGTAACAACTATCGGAATAAAAGAGAATAAATCTGTTCTGCCCTTCTCTTCTAAACAGAAGCTTCTTCAAGTGGTTTACTTCAGCATACATGATATTCATTTGGTGATCCTTTATTCTGGAGTACTCTCTTGCCTTTGACCTTTGTTTGACAATGGAATATACCTTCCCCATTTGTTAGAGCTATTTGATTGTGTCTTAACCTGAACTATACAATGATATATTTAACAATTGGTCTCTAATTATTGACTAACTATGGGCTTTAAGATTGTTGATTTCTTGCTGTCTTTATTAGTATCAGCTGTCTTCGACCAAGAAGTCGACAGTTTTATACAACGAGTAAATTATTAAAGGCTAATGTCCAACCTACATACTTACAAAAATGTTATAATCTGGATTAACTGGGGTTTTGGGGTTTTGGGGTTTTGGGG